AATACAAAGCATCAAGCAAATATTTCCAAATGAATCAAATTTGCTTGTTTTTTTAATTTTCTCTCCCAATTCCACCCATTTTCATGAACAAATATCTGAAAAGTGACACTCACATGAAGCTCAAAAAGCCTCACACTTTTCTTCAATATTTTGTTCTCATGCTGTTGTATTCTGCATTTGCATATACTCTAGTGTCTGTCTCTGTTTCTGGGGGAGGGGGATTCTTTTTCAAATTAGAAGCCAAATACTGTGACATAATTGTTCTGTTTTGCAAATTATTAACGCTGGTGTGTTATGAATGCTGAATGCTTGGAAGAGGAATATACATTGCAGACATTATGAGACATTATTTGAATAATGCTTAAATTAAGGATTCCCCACCCCCATTTCCAATTATTTGACCAGCCATAAATAGAATGCATGTGTTCAAAAACAGCTCCTCATGTAGGTCATATTTTTGATGAAGAACTTGGTATTTTTAGAAACAACTTGGGAGCAAATTATACAGCTTACTTTTAGAGCTAGAAAAACAATGTCCCAAGCTTGTTCCTTCACAGACTTTCTGTGACTCTTAGTTGCATTTTGTATTTTAAGTGGAAAGTCCCCCCACAGACCTATGAAATCCATTCAGTAATCAACCCACTAATAGCTCCTTTGTCTTGTGTGTAATCTCAATGTTTTTTTTTCCAGACATTTTTATACAAAAGGAAATTTTGTGTTAAAGGAAGGAACAAGGAAATTAGCTGGAAAACATACTGAAATCTAATCATTCACTTGTTAAGTATTTATGTTTGCTTATTTGTGGTATCTGTGCATGTGACCTATCCACTTAGGGATACAATTTTCAGAGGAGATTGTGTTCTTTGCTTGCAAATCAGGTAATTCAACATAAATAGGCCACTGATCCAACAATCCATTTTCTAGCAAAGCTCCTTAAGGCTAATGCAAATCTATCATTTCCCTCCTATAATGTTCTGAGCAGTTGCCTTTTTGTTGAAATATTCTCTTTTGATTATAACTCTTTCTACCTCAGAAAATGCTAACTGTAAAAATAATATCGCTGACAGAACTACTTTTAACCATTGTGTTTAATGTATATTAAAGTTGTGTAAATTATTTAAGTAATTTGAAAATCTTTGGAATCTTGATTTTGTAAAATAAAATGTTAATACAGTATTTCTAGTCTTTATACAATACTATTTGTTTTAAAAATACTTTTATTTGTTTATATTCATGTTATATTTGATATATATAGCTTACATTTTGACATAGATTTTATTACCATACTAATGTGTATGTGTAAAATTGTATTTTGCCTGTGGTTCTTAAAACAGCAGACCTTGTTTAAGGGCATATAAACACATATCATAAAAATGAGTTGATCAGGTTATTGTGCATGATATTGTAAACTGCAAATCAATATGCAGTCTTACCCTACTTCATCATGTCTGATTATTATTGATATCACTGTTGTTAATAAAGCAGATTGCTAAATATATTATATTAAGAAAAATACAAAATATAATCAAACTTAGTAAATTTTAAAATGTATGAACACATTTGCATTATTTGTCAACAGCGAGTTGTTTTCTTTGTTTGAAGTTACACTGTGCACGGCTATTTAAGACATGGTGTCTGACTAAAGCTCAATGAAAAGCATTAGACAGAGTATGATTGTCATGCTTCAGCAAGCATCTGATTGGCAGTTTGAGAGCAGTAGCTTTCCTTGAATACCAATTAACTCTGTATGTATTTCCCACCATTACTAACTCTCGACAGCACAGAATGCATACCCAGCTTACTAGTTATTTTAAGTAAAATAATATGGTACATCAGACATTGGAAGCTATAACAATATATACTTTGTATTGACAAACACAGCACTCCAGGATGGTCTTGGTGTTTTTATCTGTCTATTTTTCCCTTCTTACTACTAAGGTTAATCAATCCTTTACAGAATTAATCAATGTACTGTAGAACACATCATGCATTACATGAATTCTATTGTACTTGTGCAAATAGGAAATAAATCTGTTCATCTCACAGTGGAAATATTTAGGAAAATTGTCACTGCAAGATGGGAGTTTGCACTCACTTCAATATAATCTACTGTAACGTAATGAGAATTAAAGATCATGTAATTATGATATAACTGTGATAGTTTATAATGTGGAGAGAAGATTTGTACAGTATGTTGCACTTTGCTTTTAAAAAAGTGTTATTTTAAAAAGAATGTAGAATACAATAAATGATGCACTGTAATTGCAAATATTCTTTCTGGTTATATTGTCAAAAATCTAACTTTTCACAAACATATTTATTGCAAATGTCAGACAACAGAAAAAATATGACAAACCATTTGTCACTTAACCAAAAAAGACAAATCAGTTGCTAAGCCAGCGACAGATTCATTTAAATCTAGCAATCTGGGGCAGGGCCATCACTATGGTAGCAATCACATTCTTTAACTTCTTATCACAGAATCAGAAAACACACAGGGATCCTGATGTGAATGTCAGTTACATTTCTAAATATCTGTAGCTGCATGAGAGAGGGGTAACTGTGGGGTATGACAGTACAATCAGTTTTGTTTATAAAGTAGATTAAAAATAATTTCTAAATTTTGGACTCAATTTTTATTTTTTTACATTTTATTTATGTATACAATCTATGCACATACTGTATCTACACAACTGTAATTAGGCAAAAATAAATTTCAGATATGGAGGGATATAAGAAAATAAAAAGATTATGTAACTAAGCTGCTTTGCAGAAAGAACAAATTTTCACAGAATTTATAAAACTATAGACCAGACAAAAAATGCAAAATGTGTGTGAATTCTGAAAGTATTTAATGAAAGAAACATATTTACAAATGTTTCTCCAAGGAATTGCCTACTAACAGTTTCAAAACAACAGGCCTACAAACACAGCCAGAGTAACAACACACAGACAAAGATAAAATGCAAAGATCAAGATGAGACTAGCCTGCTAAACCAGGTTAAATACCCTGAACTTCAGTTCTGGCTTGATGGAAAGATAAACTTCCATTTAAATCAGAGGTGACTCAGGTCTGTAACCCAACTCAAAATGATGGAACAAACAAACAAGAGAAACACTGAATCCACAACAGGTAAGACAAATATAAAAATAAGCAAAATATAGATTAAACAATATATAGATTAATTTAGATGCAACAAGGTGACACAGTGTTTAACATTGCTGCCTCTTTGCTTTGGGTTCAATTTCGGACGTAGGGTACTATCTGAATGGAGTTTTGCATGTTCTCCATGTGTTTGTGTGAATTTCCTTGAATGCTCCCACATTCCAAAGACAATGGTAATGTAGGTTACCTGGCTTCTGGGAAAATTGGCCCTGGACATGAGCCTGTATTGGATAAAGCAGTTAGAATATGGATGGATAAATTAAATGAATACTACTTATTTACATTAAAAAATATAAACCTGATGAAGGCTCCACGGCCGAAACGTTGTGTTATCTTTCTTCTCTTTTCAGCATGGAATAAACCTATCACTTGTTCTAAACATATAATTGCAGATATACATCAACAGAGGATTTATTTTGTTATTAGAAAGATTACAGATAAAAAAACAATAAGAAACCTCAACAGAGACACACAAAGAGAGTGTGCAACTTATCCAGAAATAAGTAGGGAGTACAAAACATCTAAGTTGTCAGTGTAGTCAAGGTCATCAGTGTGTATCCATTACTGTTCTTGGTTGTTCAAGAAGCTAAAACAAGTTAATCTAAACCTATCTTAGTTCAGGTGAGTAGCTGTTTCAGCATGTGTAGGCTGCAAAGGAACAAGTAAAGTTTATTCCATGCTGAAAAGAGAAGAAAGAAAACACAAAGTTTCAGCTGTGGAGCCTTCTTTGGGTGTGAGAAAGACAGGGCAGACAGCAAAGATTAAATAGCAAAGGAGAACAAAAGCTGGAAGAGTTCAGGACATGGGAACAGGGGAGAGGCAGAGAGGCCGCTTAGGTGGTGCGAAGTGGAGAGAGGTGGTGTGAAGTCAAAACCTGCATGTGAATAGAGAAGATTACATGAAAACAAGTCTGTCATTGAGGGAAGGGGAAGGTGTGAATCAAGTTTCAGGATAATTTTTGTTTCTGATGTTTTTCTGCTATGGGAGTCAAGAAACCCTTCTTTGAGAACGTAGATGGAGAGATCAATGAGATCATGGCCATCTGAGGTGAAATGAGAAACTAGGGGCTTGGAGAAATCTTTAATCTTCACAGCCCTAACATGTGGTCTCCTAGCTTTCTTCCGGTTTCCCCAACGTATATAGCTGGGTATTTCCTGCAAGAGATACAGTAAAAGAGGTCACCTGGGTGATCCAGATTGTCCTGAAGGGCCTTGAATGAGTTAAGTGTTAGATATGTACTTGCAGGTGATGCAGCAAGCTCTATTGCAGGGGAAAGTACCCCGTGTGGATGGTTGCTGAGGGCGGTCAAGGGAGCTGTTAACAAGAAGGTTATGCAGATTTGGTGGTCAGCGATATGAGATGATGGGGCGGTGGCAGTTTTTGGCTTGGATGAGGGCCCTGTCAATAACATGGGTGGGGTATCCTCTGTTGATAAAAAAGGAGTGCATTTTGAGTGCTTGGTTCTGGAAATCAGAGTCATCTTAGCCTAAGAAACTGTGAAAAAGGGAGAGAGTTTTTAGTGTGTTTGGGGAGAAATGAGCTGTACAGGAGATAGCTGTGCGAATCCATGGGTTTGTAATAGACTGAAGTAGAGAGTCAGGGATGGTTAATGGATAGGTTTATGTCTGGAAACGGAATAGTAGTGGAAGATAGTTTAATTGTATATTTGAGGGACAGTGTGGAAGTTGGTGAAGTGATGCAGGAAGTGCTCTAACTGGTCATTAAAGCATGTGGCAGCACTGACGCAGTCATCGATGTATTGCTTGTAGAGGTCAGGGATAAAGCCAGTGTAGGAAGTGAAGAAGAAGCTGGGTTCTTCTACCCAGCCAACAAAGATATTGGCATAGCTAGGTCCCATTCTGGTGCCCATGCTCACTCCACTAACCTGCTGGTAAAAAAGGTTATATGAGAAGGCATTCAGTGTGAGTACCAATTCTCCAAGATGTACAAGGGTGTGGGTGGGTGGATCGAATGCAGTGCATTTGTCCAGCGTGTGCTTGAGGACTGTAAGACCATCATTGTTGGGAATGATGGTGTAGAGAGATGTGATATACATGGTAAAATATGTAGCATTCTGGACCCTGAAACTGGAATTTGTTAAAAATTTGGAGGGCATGGTTAGTGTCCTTTATACATAAAGGGAGCCTTTCAAACAGGCTGTCTCATCAGGCTATCGAGAAAGGCTGAGATATGAGTAGTTGGACAGTTGCATGCTGAGACGATGGGGCATCCAGGAGTGTCAGGTTTGTGGATATTATAAAATTGGGATACCTGGGGATGTTCAACGATGAGCCGGTTTGCTTCCTAGTGGAGTTCCTTGCAGCTGATAAGAAGGGAGATGGTGGATACAATTTCATATGGTAGTCGGTGGTAGGATCCTGTTGAAGAGGAGGGCAAGCAGAAGTGTCAGTTAGTTGTCTGGAGGCTTCATTAATATACAGGTCTTTTTGCCACACTACAACAGCGCCTTCTTTTCCGCTTGTTTAATGACAATTTGATCTCTGTTGCAGAGAGATTGGAGTACCTGAGTTTCTCCATGAGTGAGGTTAGACCTGTGTTTCCTGGGTATAGAAAGGGTCTTGGGAGCTTGATTGATGCATTGGTTGATAAAGTAATTGACTGGTGGAAAATGGCCAGAGGGGGAAGTCCAACAGCTCTGGTTTGGGATTGATATTGTTAACAGCATCAATCACTGGGTTGTTGTCAACTGCCTGTGAGGAGGAGGAGTCAGCAAAATATGCTTTGAGATTAATCCTGCGGTAAAAGCGGTTGAGGTTGACTTGGGTTTGTGGGATGTCCAGCTTCTTGGGGGCTGGTACAAAACTGAGGCCTTTGCTGAGAAGAGATCACTCATCCTATGAAAGGGAAAGCTCAGAGGGTATGTAATAACAAGGTTAGGATTGGTGGAGGTAGTAGGGGTGTTGATGGTTTTTTTCTGTAGAAGTTGATTGAGTTTTTTGTCCTTCTCTAAAGTGAGGACTTGGTAGAGTCTGGAGTTGAGGGAAATGATGAGGTTAGTTATAAAGGGAAGATGATGGGGAGCTGTTAGCTGTAAAAATCCGTTAGCTTATTTGATGTTGTTGTCAGAAAGGGTAATCTGTTGTTTCAGGGAGAAAGCATTAGTTTCCGCAAAAATTGTCGAAGAAGTCTCAGAGTGTTACTCTGGGTGGTGTCAGAGTCAAAGGAAAAAGTGTTGAATTTTAGGTGAAATCTTTTAGGAATTATATTATAACGATGACATCTGTAAAGGTAAATCTATCTTACTCTTACAAGTTGAATCTAAATCTATGTTGACATTCCTCCAGGATTTTATTTCCATATAGGTAATTCTCAATTTAAAACAAAAGTTAGTTAATGCTAGGTAAACCAAACTTTCTAAAAATACCTACTGATCCCAAAGTGTTTTACAAAAGGTGGCTGTTGCATGGAAGGCAGTATGTGCTAGCAGCTCCACTTTATGCAGGTTAGCTAGAAAAACTGAGAAATTGCATTACCAGTTAAATTCAGAGGGAACTTTAGGTTGGCTAGATTGTGCAAGCCTAGAGTGGAATATAACCAGGACACCAGAGTTACATGTTACTAAAACAGCCATGACTTTAATGACCAAGTAGTCAATACCTCAGTTTAATATCTCATTGAAAGGACAGGACCTCTTGCGGAACAATGGTCTTACAGTAGTCACCATACTGGTGCATTTATTTTTACCATTCTGATGTGTTGCCTGCTTATCCACCAACGCTATTCTGAGCAGCAGCCTTGTTTTCCTTATTGATCCCCTGTTTCATTCTAACAAGGTTCAGTCTTGCTTTGCTTCAGAGGTTTTGACAGCTATGAAGGTGTGTTAAGTAACTGAAAAAATTGGCACAAAATCACATTCAAATTAGTTCATGTGTAAAACAGCAGTCATGGGTGTAATTCTGTTTTCAGGTTTCTTTTAGGTAACTCAATTAGCTTCTATTTATAGCTAGTTATAATTCCAGATATGGATGTATTGTATGTTAAAAAGGGTGCTACTGTGTATCTTTTAAAAAGAAAAGGCTTTATATAAGGTGAGCAAAACTTATCATTAGAAGCTTTTGTAGGACAAATTCCAGAAAGCTGTGTACTGTATATTATTTCTGTCATGCTTTTGACAATCTGTTTTATTCTTAGATATTCCCATAAGGTCATAACACAAGGAAGTATATTCACAGAGTATTTGATTAAGTGGATTTTCATTAAACAAACATCGTGAAAACCAATCTAAAAAACCCTGACACATTCTGGAGAGTGATCAACTTGAGATTCTATCTTTTTTATAAACTGAAACAGATTTTCTGAATTATTAACCATGATAAGTAACATGAACACTTTCTTTAAAGAACCCAATGAGAAATACTGGAGAGAAATTTAACAGCTGATGTAAATATAACTCGATCTGTAAACAATTTCTGCAGTTATAAAGTAATGAAATACTATGCAGTACTAATGCAGACTAGTTCAAGTAGGTGGCTGTGTCAGTATGTGTAGGCTGCAAAGGAACAAGAAAAGGTTAATTCCATGCCGAAAAGAGAAGAAAAGAAACACAACGTTTCTACACCTCCACAGCCGAAACGTTGTGTTTCTAATGCAGAGTAGCTATTCCATGTAAACATGGAATAGAGATTAGCAACTGAGAAATAATGTATATTTTTTTAATGTGAGCATTTTACAGTACAAACTGTGTATCAAAAACATGTCATGACCAAATGTCAAGTGGGTGTTGATGAAATCTGACAAGTTTCAATTCAGTTACAGTGGCTCACAAGAAGTATTTTTCAAAGACATGGGTCAGTCCACTATCTTGACTAGTGCAGGATTATATATTATGTGAACTGCTTCATCTCATCAATACACATACTAAGTTTGTAGCTAATCAGCTACACTGTGTTGTACAAGGAAAAGTTTGAAATTATCAATGAAAAAAGAAACTGGAATAATGCTAGGACTTTTGAAGACCTCAGGAATATCCCTATCCACTCACTCTAACTTTGTGAATTAACTGTGAGTAAACTAACAGGAAACTATGACAATACTGTAACGCTGCTCTGTAGAGGCGAAAAGGATCCGATGCAGATGCAGGAGTCGTAGGCAGGTGAGTAAGCGTACAGAGCAAAACCAGGAGCTGGGTCGTAGTCCGAAGGCGAAGGTAGGTCAAGATCCGGTAAAGGCACTGGTGGCGAACAATCCAAAATGTGAGACAGAATCGTGGTTGAAATGAGAGCTGCAGGGTCAAATCCGAAATAGGCACAGATAGCAAACAATCCAAGGGGTGAGATGAGATCCAAAGTCCGAAGGCAAAAGGGTAGACAGAATTCCAGGAAGGCAAAAGGGTAAGAAACGCTAGGCAGAGCAACAAGAAGAGAACTCAATACCAAGCAACGGGAAGTAGATTAAAATAGTAATCTGCTGCTGGTACTGATTAGCTCGCTTACGCGTTGATCTCTGCTGGCTGGTGGTTGTGACAAATACCTTTTAAGTTTGGGGTCCTTTGTTTAAAAAGGTTTGAAGAACGAGAATTACAGGGTGCAGTTCTCCAAGAATTTAATGTACTAATGTAGGTGTATAAATTGTGCAACTGCAGTGGAAATCCAAAGTAGGTCTGAGTGTGATGAAATATGTCAAGTTTCAAGTTAATCAAGTGAAATGATTAAAAGGACCAGTTTGCTGAAAAAGACACATTATACCTAGATGATCTTTAACGGTAAAACTAAAATAGCATTTTGTAAGGTATAAAACAGAAACATCTTTTGTCATTCAAGTTTCAATTCAGTTAATGAAGCATTTTCCAAGACTGAGGTACAATTTGGGGTACAAATGGTGACAATTTGGCCATTTTGTAAACAACAGTGCATCAGACGGTATGAATGGTATTATCAATAGAATGGTAAAATAATAATTGAACAGCAGGTGTTAGTTGTATGAGCTATGTATTGACAACAAATAAAGAATTAGAGGTCAGACAACCATCGCTGTTTACATATAAATCTTATTGTCACCTACTTATAAGTATGGAGTTATACTTATAAAGTTTGTAAGTACTTAACTGTCCAAACAGCTTTTGAGCAGGAGCAGTTAGTGTAATTGGCTGCATTTCTGAACATGCTTCAGTTCAGTTGCTGCAATGGTTCATAATAAGATTACGACATCATGTTAAAATCATAGTTAGGTCAGGCCAATCATGCTGGTTTATGCCACTGATTTTAGTTTTTTCCACAAACATAATTTCTGGCAACAACCTGGTTTTCCTTGAAGATTATCCTTCCAACTACTAGCCAGGCACAGCCTTCCCTGGTTTCTGAGATTATATATCACTTTTTTCTATTCTATTGTTAATTTCTTTGCACTATATATATATTCTTTTTCAGCAACTGTTCTATTCCAACAGCACTGACTTTGGCTATTTTAACAACACGTTACGCTCAATCTGGAACTGATTTTCACATATTGTCGGGAATTTATTCTTTTTTTGCCCAGATCTTGTCAGATGACAAATGGATTTCAATTAGCTTACTGTAAACTTACAATTAAAAACAGAGTCTTGCAATTTAGTATCTTTTAGAATTACTGATTCCTAATCTTGTCATTCTTTTTTTTTAAATACAATGAGAAACGTTTCAAAATTCTAAAAATATCTATGGTTTATTATCCTTATTGGGATTTTTTTACTCCTGATAATTTAGTATTTACATTTCATTCATGTATGAAAAAATATATATGAACATTTGATTGATACCTAAATAATTCTAAACTTGCCAAGAACACCAATAATTGCTCATTGATGTAATATAATATACAGCACAATTGGAGTTTTCTGTATTATCAGAATAAAAATAGAAAAATAGTCTTGAAAAGGTACTGTACATTTGTATAATAAGCTTCAAACATCACATAGAAACAACATTTAGGTACAACAGGACAAGTGCATATTTTACAACTCAAACTTATATGACAGCTAGACCTTTTCTTTGAGTCGATTCCCAGGATACTGAAAGATACTGTTTTGTAGTTGCACAAAGCAATGGAGGTGATGGCATATGTTCAAAGCAAAATAAAAAGGAACTCAGATTTCAAAATAACACATTAACCATGCTGGCAGAAGACCTCTGCTTCCATAGCCAGTTGTGACATGGCTTTTATTAAGAATTTTTTTTTAAATTGCAGCAATAAAAAAAACATGAATAAACAATTCAATTTTGACTTCTTAACTGAGTCCAAAGAACATTTTAATAATAGGGAACCAAATTAGTTTGATTCCATTTTTTCACTCTTCCCTCATATTTTATAAAAATAAGTACTCATTAAAACGTTAAAATATTAAATGTTTTTTTACTGTTTTATGTTACATACAGTTATTGTA